ATATATGTGTGACTTGTTTAAAACACTTCTTTCATATTAAAATGTTTGAGTTACTACAAACAATCATGAAAACTGAAGAAAAAAGACAAAGAATACAAACAAAGTTCATTTATTTATTCATCATTTATGATTTTTCTAGTTATTAGACTGTTTTTTTTTGTTATTTTGTTAACCTTCTAATTTACCCATTTTAACATATACTGTGCTGTATGGATTGTAAGCTACATTTTGTTATGTAACACTAGAATGTAATATTTTTCTTCTTGTCACTTGCATTGCAGTATGGTTTTGACTGGGATATATTACGTGTACACAATGATGCAGCTATCAGAATACAGAGTTCCTATCGAGGGTATACGGTACGAAAGGAGTTTTTAAGAAGAAAAAAAGCTGCAATTACAATTCAAGCTCAAGTTCGTGGATATCATGCTCGAACAAGTTATAATTTAATTAAATCTAAGCCTCAGGTAAAGTAGTGTTTTTCTGAAGAATAGAGATCTATCAGTGAATGTTATATAGAATAAGCTGATTGTTTTAAATATAGTTTGTAACACTTCTCCTTCTAACCTTTAGATATGCTGGCTCGTAACTGCATGAATATAACTGTAGTCTTATTAGGCCGTAAAAATGAAACTTGGTACTAATGAAAACATTTACATGTTGATTTTTGGACTGGAGTTTTTTTTAATGATCATTTTATTTAACTTTAAGTTTTTGTTTCCAAATGAAGCTTGTTTTAACTTTAGAATTTACTTTATTAAATGTTAGTAATTGTTATGATAATTAATTTAAATACAAAGTCACTGTTTGAAAGCTGTGATCAAAAGTTGTTGGGTCAGTTGAAAAATAGTTTGTTTTTAAAATATCTTAAATATTTATCTGGTATTTATTTCTATATAAGTAGAAAAATATTGCTTGTTGAAAGTGTGATATCCCCAAGTTCAGTGATTTTGTTTCAAGTAATTGGTTATGTTACACAAGATAATGAGAACAACAAGTTGTAAGCCAATGATGAACAAAGCCCTGGTATGAAGGAGGCTTTGCTGATTTATAACAAGAACTTCAACAAAAATGTATTGTGGACTCTCTTGGTTGTGACTGAGAATATAGTAAAGAAAGAGACTTGATACAATTTAAAGCACGAAAAAGTGATCTTTATTCAGTACAAAACATAGACAGGGAAAACAAAGCATTATGTACACAGCTCTACAATGTTATTCGTCTCAGGATGAGTGTACTATCTGTTTCACTGATGGTCATCCAATCAAAAAAATTTTCCTCTAGACATTATCTGACCCACCTGTGGAAAACATCACAACCCTTCTTTAGTATATTTTACTTTACAACAATCTTTCTAATGAGAAAGTATATGTGGTGCCATAGAGGAATGACACAGAACAATATGTAACAATGGCAAAAGAACTTTGACACTCTCTTGACAATGTTCCACTTTAGACCTACATAAACTTGTATATATCGAAACTTTGAAACATTCGTAGAGGAACTTTAGGAGTTCACTTTATGAAATAAAGGAAGTATACAATATGTAGTATGCCTTCATACCACACTAAAATCAATAACAATAATTTTCAAGCTTAATCTAGTCATACTTAAGTGCAAAAAACGTACATGAAATAAACATCCATTTAAGACAAACTACCTCAGGCACCATTAAGCAACTGTTTACAAACTTTAACTAGAATGTTTATTTTCCTAATGGCTTTCCCCTAATGATTTTGATATAATTAAATTTATAAATACGTTGAAATCAATGAAGACATGAATAATGGTGTATTTTTATAGATTTTTGTTATTTAAAAGAAACATATGAAAATTGTAATTCTAATACAAAACCTAATTTTCAAAAATTATAAATAATTCAACTTGAAATAAACATTACACTGATATCTTCTGAGAGACAACATTTAAAGAAATTGATCTATGACAATGAGTAACTAGAAAAGCAGCAAGTTGGCTACATTACAGTTCTCCACTGTTAAATCTATAACAACTTAATATTATCCCAAAATATTATAAGTGAGAAGCTTAGCTGTAAACCCAATATTTCCAGTTGGTATTAATTATAGCTTCATTTCAATTTTAAGAACGTTTTCTGGTGTGGTGTTACAATTATGTACATACGACTGTGTAAAACAAAGTGTAAAGTTATCGTTATTGATAATCAAAACAAGTCAACGATGATGAGCATACACAGATGATTGACAGTGCTGGAGTGTGAACATGACGAAAAACTAAATGAGACTAAGAAAATATAATAACTATAATGAAAACAGAACAACATCAGCTCTCCTTAAGCACATGTTCTACCCACAGCACAGTCATTCTGTAAGTTAAAATAGAAGGGACAGACAGGTATCAAGCCTCTATACATGATGCTAACCTGCACAGTTCACCACTTTCACAGATTAAACATTGCCATCTTCAACTAGTTTAAAGTTTGATGGTGTATTCATCTTTGTCCATGATAAAACCTTCATGGATTAAACCACTTTGACACAGTAAAGATGAGCATCAAAGACTGACTAGTTTCAAGAATGAAGAAAATTAGTAACACAGAAAATGAGAAGAGAAACAATAAAAAATACATCAGTCATCACAAGGAGCCTCAGCAATGGATAGCCTTAAGGATTGTAAAAGAAGAGAACTGTCAAGTATAAGCAGGTATGCTTGAAAACATATATAAAGAGTACGTATAAAGAAGCATAAAGTTAGAACATTATTCAGAAGCCATAACACTGTTAGTGTACACCAAACCACCTAAATACCCAATGGAGAATAAAACAAAATTTACAACATCCTTTGTGAATGTGGACTCTAATACAGTGGAGAAACAAAAGGACAAACAAAAAGTCAGAATTCAGTTGTACAATTGGCATACAAGAATCTTTACTAACAATCTAATTGGAAGAGCTCATAATGTCAGAGAAGAAGACCATACAATAAGATGGAGTAACACAAAACTGATGAGATATGAACCACACACATAATAAAGGAAGCCTTCTAAGTCCAGTTAACAGATAATACACTCAGTCAATCTAGCACAGAAACTCTTTATAAAGTATCCAAATAGTTAGTTGATTCAAGTCCAAATGGGGTGAGAGCCTGGACTACAAACCCCGGATCCTGCTACTGTATACAGTCTAGAAATGGCAAAAGATTAAAACCCAAATGTACAGTATAAACTAATTAGTACCTAATAAATAAGAATTTTAAAAGAGTGATTAAGGAGACTTATGTGATGGTATAGAGTTACAACCCATGGCATCTGAATGCCATTACCCTACCATAAATAATACTAGTTTCTCACTACATGCACACACACACACAACTTCCAGATGCACTGTTTTAGCTTACAAGGGAAAACAGTAACCACAACTAACAAGAGAAATTGTAGAAAAGGTGCTGCTGAGTTAAAAAAAATTATTACCTATTTGAAGATAGACTTTATCATGGACAAAGATGAATACACCATCAAACTTTAAACTAGTTGAAGATGGCTATGTTTAATCTGTGAAGGCTTTATCATGGACAAAGATGAATACAATACACCATCAAACTTTAAACTGGTTGAAGATGACTATTGCAAGAAGATTGGAAAAACAATTAGCTACTTGGAACAGAGACAGTTTTACAAGTAAATGTACACTAAAACACAATCATTTATTTCTACCTAAAATTTACAAACAAGCCTACCATTTCCATCCCTAAAACAACTGTAGAAAATTCTCATGCCACCCTTTAGCTAGATAGAGTATCACTATCAACCATTTTAAGATCTCAGTCCACTTTGTAAAGATTATAAAAGCAACCATGATAACCCTGGTTTGTAATCCGTTCAATAATATACCATTTCTTTAATCATTACAGATGATCAGCTTAAAAATATTAGAATTCAAACAAAATGATCAACTGACAATCTTTACAATAACAGAACTCATGTCACTTCTAACATGAAGAAAATTACTTCCAATAACAAGAAAGATTAGTCAAGCATGAGATCATCTATGTCATCAGTACTTAGTAAAGTTCTAGGTAGAATATTTCAAAAATAATGATTTTAAAACAGCCATTCTGTGATCTTGGATTTAGCTCAGATATGTTGACTACATAACAGTGTGGTCACACACACTATAGACAATAGAATAAGTGAATCATCTGAAGAGACAACATCTAGTAATACAAATCTTGATAGAAAACGATAATTTCCCATTCTATAATGTAATGATCACCAAGATACATGGCTCATGGACAACAGAAGTTGACTGAAAACCAGTAGATACTGGTAAATATTTGGATTATAGATCAAACCACCTGAACAATGTAAAAGTGGATGTCATAGACTGCCTTGTTTCTAGACTTTACAAGATTTGTAATACAGAAGATACAAAGAAGAATGAAGAAAAACAAGTTACTGTGAACCTCTTTGACAACTGACATATTGAACATTTGATAAAGAAGAAAATAAAAAAGACAAACACCAAGAATAAGCAAAATGAAAATTATAGAGATACATCCATATTCCTCAAAGTGAAAGGTTGCTTAAAATATACAAAGGATTTACATGCAACATACAGTTAAAACAGGTATGAGAAGCCACAACAGTGAATTCCAATATGTTGTAGAAACGAAAAAAGACCAACAAACATTAGAATTAAGGAGCATAATATATATGTAGAATCTGTAATACCAATCTGTCTCTAGTAGCCCATCGTGTCAGATAAGAAGACCACACAGTAAAGTGGAATAATTGTAAAATAATAGAATATGAAAAACACGTTAAAAAAGTAAAGATAAAAGAAGCTTTTACATTCATCTAACAGGTTATACATACTCATTTAACGTAGTTAGTTACTCAATTAGTTTGTTGATTCTAGTTCCAATGGCCCTGATGAGTGGGTAACACACCTGTCTTTCAAAGAAAACCCAAAATCTAATCCAGGCTGTAGTTGCCACCACATGCAATCCTTCTCAGGACTTCTGTGAAGATGTTGGTAGATTAAAATCCAAATTGTAGGGTATAGAATAATTAGTAATACAAACTTTAATAGGTTATTGTATAAAATACTAACCATGACACAAAAACTAATTTATATAAACATAACTAATGTAACTAATAGTACTGTCTATTGTATGTCCATGTAACTAATAGTACTGTCTATTGTATGTTTGTGTAACTAATAGTACTGTCTATTGTATGTCCATGTAACTAATAGTACTGTCTATTGTATGTCCATGTAACTAATAGTACTGTCTATTGTATGTCCATGTAACTAATAGTACTGTCTATGGTATGTCTGTGTAACTAATAGTACTGTCTATTGTATGTCCATGTAACTAATAGTACTGTCTATTGTATGTCTGTGTAACTAATAGTACTGTCTATTGTATGTCCATGTAACTAATAGTACTGTCTATTGTATGTCCATGTAACTAACAGTACTGTCTATTGTATGTCTGTGTAACTAATAGTACTGTCTATTGTATGTCTGTGTAACTAATAGTACTATCTATTGTATGTCTGTGTAACTAATAGTACTGTCTATTGTATGTCCATGTAACTAACAGTACTGTCTATTTTATGTCCATGTAACTAATTCACAGGGTTTGGATGGATCTTCACCAAAATTGGTATGGAGGTTCATTAGGTCTAAATCTCTATTCAGTGTGATATATTCTTTATAAAATTAAGTCATCTAAACTAGGGTATATTGTATGTAGTGAGCCTGGCATGGCCTGATGGTTAGGGTGATGGACTCTCAGTCTGTGGATCTTGGGTTCAAATCCCTGTTGCTGAACATGCTCTCCTTTTTAGCCTTGGGGACATTACAATGTGATGGTCATTCCCACTATTCATTGGTAAAAAGAGTTGGCTGTGAGTGATGTTGAGTAGCTGCCTTCTATCTAGTCTATAACTGCTAAATTAAGGATGGCTAACACAGATAGCTCTGGAGTAGCTTTGTGCAAAATTCAAAACAAACAATTGTATGTAGTAGCTATCAGTATATTCAGATTTTTCAACTCTGGCAATTAAATGTCTTACAAATAATAACTAATAACTAAATAACTAATAACATAATAACTAATTTACAGTAATTTTTGTACATTAAGTTAATTGATACTACCAAATCAGCTTCATTAATGTATATTTAATATTACACTCATTCTTCACAGTGTTAGTTTATTTTTGTACTGAAGTAACTAACAGTAATTTGTTAATTTATTAATACGTAAGACATTTTTAAATTATTTCTTTTCTTTTTTTCAACTTAGGAAGCATGGTTTTTATGATAAAGTAATATGTAATATTGTTAGAAATAAAATTATATTTATTTGCAACTTAAATATAGTGAAGAGGTGTATGTATGTCTTTGTCATTACCGGAGTACTTGCAATTGAACAAAATATGTTTCTTGCATTTTTTCATTTTGTTATATTTGTTTGAATCCAGAAATATAAAGTTATCTCATAAATTTTATTATTTTTAAAGACTTGAATGTATTTTTGTGAGTATTGAGTGTAATTTTGGTTTTCAGCTGTCATACAATATAAAAGGCGGCACTATTTGTCTTGATGATCCTTGTCTACAAACCTTGATCCACTGTTCTGATTGTACTCATATCAGCCGTCAGTTAGATGTTCGTCTCGCACTTTTACCCAAGTGTGAAGATTCTGTTCAAGAAACTAATACTCCTGTCTTGCTTGTATTAGGAGGAATAAACCCTAACAGCTTAAGTAGAACAAGCACAGGTACTTAAATTGAATGTACAGGGATATAAAAAAAAAGAAATGCTTGCACAGATTTTTGTTAGTATTATTATGGTAATTTATTTGTATGTTCCCTAGTGAGGTCAGTGGTAAGTTTATGGACTTAAAGTTCTTAGATTCCCTACCGTGGACATAGCACTGTTGTGTTGTACTTTTGTAGTTGTGTAGTACATTTATGGAAGATCTAAGCCTATAAGTGATTGTTGGAAACAAACTGGAAAATATTGATGATTTGGTTTTTGTTGACATATTTAAGGAAAGTTACCATTCTAAGATTGCTCATTCAGTGCTGTACCTTTTGTAGTTCCATCGTGTGGTTATGTATTGATGAATAGATAATAGTTTTTTACACATACAGATATAACTGTTAAGGTTTTATCTTAGTTCTGTTTTGTGATGTGATGTTTTCATTCAAGATAGTAAGCTTTAAATAATTTTATTTGAGTGCAAACTAACCAAAAATACAACCTTATAATTTTTAGATAATGAAAAATAGTAGATGGCAAAACTAGAAAAAAAGATTTAGGAGGAGTCAGAGATTAACTGTTAACAATGACTGATATGAAGAAAAATTCTTACAGCTATTTTTGAACAGCTATGAGTTTCTGTTAGACATATTTATTAAATGTATAGTTTTTAAATTGGCTTTAATGTTTTGTTAGAGAGAGAAATCTGAAATACATTGTTTTGTTAAATGATATTTAACTTTTACTGATTTTCTTTCAAGACTTCTCAACTAGAAATAACTATCAATAGGTTTAGAAATGAATTTGAAATATTGCTAAACTTTGCAAAAGAATGTTAATTGTACAAATTGTTTACATTAAAACTGAATTAGTTTCAGGGTTGGTGGGTTAACAATGAAAATTTAATTAAAAGCGCAATATAGACAATTTAGGTAAAATGCCACATATGAAAGTAATTAGTTTTTAATGGTTTCGTTTTATTTATACACTTTCCATGGAAGCCTGGATTGGTCAATGGACACTTTCAGTTTCAAAAGTGTTCATTATCTTTAAAGCTTAAACTGTCATGATATGTCAAAATAGCACAGTTCAAACATGTGACAAGTAACAGGTGTATTATTTGAGTGCAAGTTTCATTAAACAGTTAAATGTAAAATTATATACAAGATTATTAAATTTGTAAAATGTTTTATGTTATTAGTGTAATGACTGGTTCTCTTTATTGGATTTATATTTTATTTGTGTGCAGCATTGTAAGCCTATTCTGAAACAAGTGTTGCTTAATTATTTTTTTCTTTACGAGAAACTGCACATTTTTGTTTACATTTTTAACCCAAAGGTCATACAAACATGTAATACTTAAACCCAGTGCCTGAACCTTGACACTTTCTAAACTGTTGAGCAAATAATGATCTAAAGTTAACACAAAAATACGATACCCTATAACCTGAGCACTTTCAAAAAGTGGACCTTTCTTCAGGAGTACACTGAGAATGATTGTTTAAAGCAAAATGTGAAATAAAGTGAAGTTTGACACTGAGTGTTGATAAAGTAAAATAAAAGTGAGATATGAAGGTTGCATCAAAAGTAATGTTAAATAGATATAATTAAAAAGATAACATGGAAGTTATCATAAATAAATAAGTATTAAGATTAGGCTAAACTTTGAGAGTTCACACAAAACTTTATTTTTCTGACAGACAACAAACTAGTGATTGGAAATCACTGTTTCCAAGATCTAGATTTATTCCATAATGTTCAACAATATTTAAAGTGTCTCACACCTAAAAAGATGCAGAGGACATCCAGTCCTTCATATGAGAGGTGGAGTCTTACATGAAGTCTGATGTTTTTTTCCTGTTGACACAGTGGCTGACCTTGCGGGGGATCAGGAATGGGCTGGTTAGAATTTGGACTCTGGCACCTTCCTTTGCTCAGACAGCTAATCATGAGCCTAGGACAGACTCCTGCCTCCTGCACCATCTTTGCAACTAGTACATCAAGTTTGTAATGTCTTGAGCATTTCTCCTACAGCTTATGACTCTTCTCTTTCTTTTCATGTCTCCTCCTCCATTGTCTCTCATACTGGTTATCTTTCTACTTCCAAAGGATCCTCTTACATCCAGTCATTGATCACAAGCTATCCATAGAGCGCATCAACTCCTCTCTTGAGGATTTTTATTTCCATCTGTTTGTAATACTAAATAAGATGAGCAATTGACGATCTGTCATCAACCTTTCTCATCTCAATCATTTCATCCAGCTTCCTTGGTTTATGATGTAGTAATTTATTTTCCTTCAGTGGCACTTTTCACCTGATCTATGGATGACAAAGTTCAATGTTGCCGATGCCTATCTTCATATTCCGATCGTGGAGTCTTCACATTGTTATCTCCATTTTGAACGATGGGTTTTGTAGTTTCTCACTGTATGCATCTACCCCATACGTATTTTGCAGAATAGTCAGATCCTTTTCATGTCATCTTCGTTCATTGGGCATTCACACTCACCACTATGTGGATGATTGGTTTCTTATCATGCCTTCCTGACACTTGACTGAACTTCAATATCGACCTTTTTTATCTGTAGCTGAAAGAGATGGTCTTCTAATCAAAATGGAGAAGTCTATTCTTACTCCCACACAATACCTTATCCATTTAGAGGTGTTTTTTAATTCCCATCTCAGTCAGGCCCAACCTTCTTCTCTATGCCTTCAGGCCATGAAATGGGCCATTTTTATAATACAGTTGTCTCCTTCTCCACTGACACATGCAGTTCTATCTATTTTGGGAATGTGGGCAATCTTAGAATCACTCATTCCTTTAGGTTGGGCCCACATGAATTCCCTTCAGTGATCATTATTGTTGGATCTGCTCTCGTCTTGGGATGCCTCAGATTGATGCTTTCACCATACACACTAGATTTGCCATCTTCTGGTCTCCTGTACCTTACCCTCTAGCTTTGGGCATATATGCTCTCAGCCAGGATTGGATGGGTCTTCATCTCTACACGTTCCTTCAGATTCGTCTGTTATCCAAAGTTCTTGCACTGACTTGCTCCTCATCCTGTCAAGTTTTTCTGGTGGCATCACATTGGCTGGCTCAGCCTTGGTTTCCACTCCTTCAGTATTTTCAGGAGTGCCAACCTCTTCCACTTCCTCTCTGGCAATCTCTCTTACATCATCTTCAGTCTGACATTTTTCATCAGGCAATCACCATTCTCTTACTTCCTGCCTGGCTTATATGCAGTCTGTTGCTTGACATCAGGGATTGACCTCTCAGGTGTTATCTAACACAGTCCATTTGGTATTCTTCTTTGGATGTTAATCAATGGAAATGGTTTACTTATTGTTAGTGGTCTCGTAGACTTGGTTTTAATCCTTCTCATCCACTGTGCCACATGTTTCTCATTTTCTGATATATTTAATCGACAAAGGTTTGGCACCATCTTCCATTTCTCTGTATAAAGCAGCTACTTTTCATTTTTCTAGGAGACGTAACGTCTTTGAGTCCCTGGTTTTGTCCTTTCTTCTGAAATTTTTTTGTATTATCCATCCTCAACATCCATTACAGGTTTCTAATTGGGATCTCACAGTGGTTCTCCATGCCTTATCCTGTCCACCCTTTGAACCTTTGGGTCATGTTCTATATATCACCTTTCTCTTAAGACTTATTTTTTCTGTTGTTGGCTAGTGGATGCTGACGTTTGGATATGTTTGTGATTCATGTTCACAGGACTCTTTACCATTCCAATTATGTTCTGTTGTATCCAGATAGGTTCTTTCTACCCAAAACTTCAGCAGTTAGAGAGGAGGATAAGGCTTTTTCTCCTATTCATCCTCCTCAATTTCTCATTTATATGATCACTTGGATCCTGATCATCTGTTATGCTTGGTTTGGGTTCTCTGATGTTATGTTGCGAGCACTGAAGAATTTCAGGGTTCATATCACTGTTTGTTTCTCCTATGGTGTCTTGTGACTTATCCTCTGTCACTTTGAAAGGTTGGGTTCATCAATTGGTTCGTATTGCTTACTCTGTGCTTTCATTGAAGTGGTGGAGACTTCTTTGGGTCTCATCTCATCAAGTTCGACATGTCTCAATGTCTCTGGTGGCTCGGTTGTGTTGCCCACTGGAGGAGATTGTACAGACTGGTATGTGGACCATGCTTAATACATTTATGTATCATTATTTACATGATTTGGCGGTTGTCTCCTTGGATGGTTTTTGGCTATTCTCCATGCCCCAGCTAGATTATAAGAGAGGTGAGTGACTTCATTTCTTTTGTGTTTATTTCTATTCTTTTTCAGACACCCTTTCATCATCTTCATTTGGATCCCACTCAGTAGTGAGTGTTGCCTGTTCAGGTATGATTCTTTTAAAATTCACACTAGCTACAAGTAGATCAATAAACATTTTTCTTGTAGCAACAAACTCTGTTGATATGGGGTGTTCCATAAGACCACCATGTGGCTTTCTGGGTGGTAAGCAATTATATACACTACTGGACCGCTACTCATAGACTATCATAAGTAAAGCATAAGGGTATTTTGCCTGTTCTTGCTGACCCCATGATTGAATCAATCTGGATCGGTTTGCTTTTCAAAATGTGGAATGGGGTTCACCTATTGCACTATCTCAGGAGCATCATTCTTTGGGACTCCGCCATGTGAGTTATCCCGGAATGTGGTTCACCTATTGCACTATCTCAGGAGCATCATTCTTTGGGACTGCCATGTGAGTCATCCCGGAATGTAGTTCACTTTTTGCACTATCTCAGGAGCATTATTCTTTGGGACTCCCCAATGTGAGTTATCTCATCATTTCAATTCCTCTTGAGTGGTGCTTGAACTTATTATCCTACTCAGAGAGAAGAGGTTGAAGCCAGGTGCCTTCCTACCTATAACCCTGGATGGTTTTCCCAAATGTGTGGTTGGAGCAGGACCAGCCTATGTGGAAGCCTCCTTGTAATTCTCGTTCAGAGATTACACTTTGCTATCCAGTTGAGTTGAGCATGACCTGTTTTTTTCGGTCATTATCTTCATTTCGATGATCATGGATGAGGGTCTTCGGCTTCCCTGAAATTCCACACGTGGAGCATCAATTTCTGCGCCATTGATTGGACTTAGTTGGTTCCACATCCTCCTCATAATTCCAGGGGCGGGAGGTGTTGCCTTGCCTCTCAGGTTTGGGAGCTAGGATTTTGGTTTGTTATCCCAGGCTGGATAATCTCTGTTTCTTCAGGATGAGTGAGACAAGAAATGTCTCATAATTCCGAGTTCAGTTTGTGCTTCTTCAGGTTGGGGTGAGGGTTTGTCCACTTTTGTGTTGCTTGCCTTCTCTTCATAATTCCAGTGACTCAATTTGCACAGTATTGTAATTTGCAGGTTGGGATCTAGTAATACCACACTGCCTTCCCCATGCCCTAGCCACTATGCCTTGCATTTAGCTTTAGGTCCACAGCCCTATAATCCCAATGATAAAAGGTGGGACCTCATCTGCCTGGTTTGGGCCTTGGACGAATCCTGGGAGTTATGTACAATATTTCATCAAGTGTGGGGATTTGTACATTAGCTGGCCAACTGACTATGACCGGATATGTGTGGTATTGCAGGAGTGGGCCAGTTCTGGTATAGTTGTCCCTAAGTTTATATTGTCTTCTTACAACGTTAGGATTTTGCCTCTGTGGCCGGTCAGCCTTCACTGCCCAGGTATTAGATTTCAAATTTCCCAGGAAAAGATCGTACCTGTTCCAGAAGTAGTGCAGACTCTGTTAGTGTGCTGTTACTATATCTCAGTTTCGTACACATCTTTTCTAGGCAGACACTTTCTGTGTGGATTTTGCCCTCACCAGCCCCTCCACCTCTTCAGTGTGGGATTCTAGTTATAGTGTGAGAAGAGGTGTGTTTCGGAAGATAATATTTTCCTATACCAAAAATGTATTTCCGATAGTACTTATCTCCTCTCACACCGGTGTTTGGGTCTGCTAATTTGGACAGTCTCCAAAGAGTGAATAGGAAGTAAGGGGAGTTTATGTATGGATCTGAGAGAGAAGGCACATTGACGAAGGTGGAGAGAATCACAAGATTTAAATTGCTTTGAATAATATAGTGGGGTATAAAGGCTGGAGAAAGCAAGGTGAGATTCATACCCATGCTTAGATGGGCAGAGAAAATAAACTTTCATCATGATAAACCTAAAGTGTGAGAGGAAGTAAGTATTATTAAAAATACATTTTTGGTATAGGAAAATGTTAACCTTCACTTTTTGGGCTTTTTCATTTAAAATGTAATGTTAAAAATGACCTTTCAGTAATTTTTAATAGAAGAAAATGAAAGAGTCAAGACAAAAACAAAACATTTTATTTCCAAAGAAGAAGAAAAGTACAAGCGATCATTGGAATAGAAGGGTATTTCAAAATAAAGATAGGAAATGTAAAGAAAAAAGAAGAGTTTAAACTGCAGCACACATGATCATCAGGTAGAAACACACTAAAACAAAGACAAGATTTTCACAACAAGCCTTCACTGTCTCAAAGAAATATATTTCTTTTCTCAGAAGATAGAGCGAATCCGGTCTGATATTGCCAAAATGCATCCATAATACACATTCTCTCTGTAGCTGACTAATCAGAAAATGGAAAATATTTGTTTCATATGACAATTGTAAGATATCTTCCTTTCACAAAGTTAGTCAAGACACTATGTAACTGTCCATGGGACAGTAGAGACCTCAGCCAGTTTTCAGATGTTCCAAATCAAAACATAAAAAGTAAAAAAAAGTTTAGATGCGAAATATGTACTACTTAAAACTGCAGTTATCAGCTGGCTGTGATATTGAATTTTTTATTCATTTATTATTGAAATGTTAAAGTTTTTTTACATATTGAAACTAAGATGATATACTTATATAATCCAAATGTTTCATTTTATCAAATTGCTATACAGTCTTATCAAAATCTGAATTTGCAATTTACCTAAACGTAAGGATTATTCTTCTGTTGTTTTCCTAGGTGATAGCATGTTACGATATTTGCCAACAGAGGACAAGTGGGAGCATTGTGGTTATTTACCAGAACCTCGACATCATCATATGGCTGTTTTTCTCAATAGATGTGTGTATGTGATAGGTAAGTAATGTCTCCAGACTCTAAATACATGGAAATAGAAAAGCTTGTCTGTGTCCTAAATGTGTATTTGTAAAGTTTTTTGTTGAACTATAAAATTCCATGTTTAATGAACATGATTCAGCTGGGATTATGATATGAATGGTTCAAATCAAGTAGACTTACCACTGAATTACAGAAAGACTTTTCTTGTTGAGTTTTATCTCATGCTATAACCAAAACATGTGCCTTAAACATTTTTAGCAGAGTTCACTTACCTGTAATTCTCCACTCTCCTAATTTTCACTTGTCTTATTTCACAAATATGTGATGATCTTACATCTCTACTTTCTTTCTCTTGCCATAATTTACATTTACTTATTGACAGCCATACTGTTAACTTGGCTACAGTTTTCCTTCTGATGCAAGATAAATAAGTAGTCAAAAACGATTTATAAACATAATAAAGTGATTTATTTATGGTGGAACCTATTACATCTTTTGACAGAACATTGGTCTGTCTTCTTCAGGTATAATCTCATATGGCCTGGTGATTAGGTCACTTGACTTGCAGTTTGATGGTTGCTGCTTTGAATTCTGTCACTGAACATTTTGGCCAATTTAACCATGGGGGTATTATAATGTGATGATCAATCACTTTTTTTTGTTGGTAAAAAGAGTTGTCCAAGAGCTGGTGGTTGGTAGTGTTGACTGGCTGCCTTTCATCTGATCTATCACTTCTAAATTAGGGACAGCTAGCACAGATAATCCTTGAAGTAGCTTTGCACAAAAGTCAACAAACAAACTACTGCAAATATTTCCAGAATTTTGGAATTTTTATAACTTTGTTGAAGTCTTACATTCAGGATAATCTTGTAGCTTCATTATAAACCTGATTGTTAACATATCTGTGTCATTGTATACTTGTATTTCTGGTGGATATCATAATTTGTGTAATATTCAACATTTTCCTTTGTTTTTGATGAAGGTCGATCTTTTGCTCTTTATAATTACTGTAGAGTCTGAAGAGCTGGATTTATCTGCTATGGTGCTAGCCCTAATCATTATGACCCTTCTGCTGGATTAATTTCTTTTTCTCTCAAATATGTTATATCAATATTCAACCTGAAGGTGGTTGTGTTGTGTAAGATGATTCAGTACTGGATATTTTTTTTTCCCACATTTTCCTGATATTGTGGTTGTTTTTCCAAGCAAGCTCTTTATCTGTACACTTCATATTCCCCTTATGCTGTTCCTTCACAGATTTTTTTACCCTAGTTTGTTATTCACACACAAATATATATTTATTTCATTTTCCATTTAAGGAAAGCTAACAGCATGAGTTGATTAGGGTTTTAGCATCTCATTTTGCTTCTGGTCATCATTCCCTTCCAGAGTCTGTTGTGTCATTTTCTTTGATGCTTGTTACATCTATCTGTACTTTTCTTTTGGCAGGTTACTTACTATAATCAACAGATTATCAATTAAAACATTATATGAAATATGCTTACAACTATCATCAGGTTACTTACTATAATCAACAGATTATCAATTAAAACATTATATGAAATATGCTTACAACTATCATCAGGTTACTTACTATAATCAACAGATTATCAATTAAAACATTATATGAAATATGCTTACAACTATCATCAGGTTACTTACTATAATCAACAGATTATCAATTAAAACATTA